ATTTTTAGTACTGTAGTATTTCCATTTGCAAAACTGAGGGCTGGGTAGGAGGGGGGGGGGGAGCTCCACACCATCTGATGTTTGAATCAGATATCAGTCTGAGCCTGACTGATCTGTGGGACTGTGTTTATTATGCCACAGGTCAGCAGAGTAGAGTTTCAGCAGTTGGAGGCATGTCACACCTGCTCCACCAACAGCTTCTCTGAGTGTTTGCAAACGTTTTTGGTCAAAGCGATTTTAAACGTGCCCGAAAAGGTCAGAACAGACGATGCTTCCCCTGATGTTTCCTTACAGGTAAGAGGAGGGTCTCTACCTCAGCTTTCTGCTGGGAGCAGATCAATAATCAGTAAAAAGCTGTGCTTAGAGTCACTTCTGGAAACTTCGAGGCTGAAACTGCCCTGGGATCAGTGGCTCACCGTCATGGCCGTGTCCGATGTCCTGCGGTCCAGAGACTTGGCTCTTCTCTGGGGAGGGGGGGCAACGAGAGAGGACGAATCTCCACACGACTGAAGTTTCTACAGAAGGAAAAAAAAGAAGAAGCCCAAATGAAACTTATAAGAACTTCCCTCACAGGAAGGCTTTCACTGATGAGAAGACGTGACGCGTTTCCTCAATCAGGACGGAGGCTGTTTGCATGTGCTGCCTGCATTCCACCAACCAGAGTAACCGATAGTCTGGACGCTTGGCACAGACGTCAGCTGTGAGGATTAGGCCCGCCGCGGAGCACCACGGGGAGCCTGTTAAACTCTCACTCGCTGAAGCGGGTCTGACCGTGGAATGCATGAAAAAGGTTTTAGAGGATAAATAATCTCCGGGACTCTGCAGCTTTTGTCTTACTTTTCAAAATGATGCTCCGAAACCGAGAGTGAGATCGCCGCACGTCTGTTATGATCAGATTTCATGCCGGCTCTAACAGCACGTATCAGACTCTGGATTACACGCATTAAGTGAAACAAGGGTCCCCTTTTTTTGTTTACTTGAGCCTCCGCTGTTCAAAAGATTCATTCTTCTTCCTTATATAACCACTTTAAAAGGGAAAAATGTCCAGTTTAATCACAACAAAACATGCTTTGTGTTTTT